GAAGTAAGGGGTTGTGGAAAACGTAGGGCCCAACTTCGGGACTGTACATCAGAGAGCCGCTGTTGTCCAGGTATGTCAGAGCCGCTTTGATGGCATCTTTCCCTTTCAGTTCTGCTGATTGTGTTGCTATTCTGGCAAAGTCGGCCACAGTCAGGTACACCCTGCCCGGGTTTGTCCTCCTGTCGGCTTCCAGGGCATCTTCGAGACGCGACCACGAAGCCGGGATCTCCCGATGGATGTTTGGGAACATGTTTCGGCTTCTCGCGATGTCCACAAGTTTCTCTCTCAGTTGAGGGATACCGGAGAAGGTTTTGGAACTAATCGTTACGATGTTTGGGATGATGTTGAGTCGGTCGGTCAGCAGATGAGTGAGGTGTTTCTGCTTTTGTTGCAGAGACTCGTCAGACGGAATGTCTCCGAGGTCGTCCTTATCACTTGCTTCTTCAAGTACGTCAGCTATGCTGCCGATTTGCTTCTCCAGCTCTCGTATCCCATCGCGCTCCATCTTCCGTATCTGGAACAAGATGTCTTCGCTCTTCATCTGAACGTCTTCCACGGAGCACAGGTCGGAGTGGGTCCCTACTATAAGAACGTTAGCTCCGGGAACTCGAGCGCCAAGTGCGACCAGCCAGCCACCCACCTCATTGAAGAAGTTGTTGCGAGAGTAGTGTCGGAGGTTGATTGTCAGAACGTGGAGTGATCCCGCTTCGAGGAAAAACTTGTACGTGTGCGCGTAGACCTCGTGACCGCCCGTGTCGTACAGGAGAAGCTCAATGTCCTCGAGCTTGACGGATTCCAGCTCCACTCCGTGGGTTCTCGCTTCCACTTCTGTCAGGAACGGCGAGTTGTTGACGAGCGATTTTCTCAAACTCGACTTCCCGGCGAGGATGGAGCCGAGGAGAATAACCTTCAGGCGAGGCCGCAGTACGGCGTCCGACCGCGCCGTCTCTGCGAAAAAGCTGGCAATGGCGGCGAAGCCCTGGTCACACACTTCTTGTGGGGGGCTGACCAGGTTGTTTCCCGACGTTAAGATCGTAGGTTCCTCCAGCCGGACGATGTCTGGCGGTAGAATCGTTAGCTTGTTCTTCCTGACATCAAGCCACTGCAGATTGTCGACATGACAGAGTGTACTCGGCAGAGTCTCTATGTTGTTTCTGGAGAGACTCAACGCCTTTAGACTCTCGAACCGCCGCACATCGTCTGGGATTATGCCGAGCCTGTTGCCGTCCAGAGCAACGTTGGTGAGATGTGGCAAGTACAAAAGGACATCAGGGAAGTCTTCCAGTTCGTTGTCTTTTAGTTCAATACTCCTAAGAGTGCGTAGCTCCCCAACCTCTGGGGGAACCTCTGTGAGCATGCAGTTGTTGAAGGCAAGGCGGCGAATCTTGGACAGCTCCGACAAGCGCGGCGACAAATCATCTAGCCAGTTTCCACTCAGCGACAGAAGCTCAATATGCTCTAACTTTGAGATTTCGTCGGGAATTTCTGTGATGAGATTGTTGTCAACCTTGAGAACCCGGAGATTTGAGGCATTGCAAAGTTCTACGAAGTCCGAAACGCTGTTGGCTCTTGCGTCCAAAGATGTCAGAGATCGCAGGTGACCTACGTTGGGCAGAGACATGATGGCGTTATTCCTCACATTCAGGACGCGAAGACTGGGGAAGGTGCTCGGGCCAAACACACCTCTACAGTTGTCCACTCTGTTGTCAGCCAAGTTTAGTACCTCGAGATTTTGCATCTTTCCCAAACTTGATCCCAACCGCGAGATGCCGTTACAGCTCAGGTCCAGCGTCACCACGTTAGGGGGCATGGCGCTCGGTAACAGGTTGATATTGTTCTCGTGTAGAATGACGTGCTCTAGGCGGTCTAGTTTGAGGATCTGTTCCGGAAGCTGATGGATCTTGTTTCCGGCTGCTCTGAAGGACCTGATCTTCTTCATCTTTTCCACGTCCGAAGACAAGTAGTATATTCTGTTGTGACTGATGTCCAGGACTTCCAGGTTGCTCATGTGACAGACAGACAGCGGCAGAGTGGACAGAAGGTTGTAGGAAAGATCAACTTTCCGCAGGTTGTGCAGCTCGGAGATCTCTCGGCACACCACGAAGATCCTGTTTCCGCGGAGTTGCAGTTCGGTCAGACCAGTCGCACGCGCGATGTACGTAGGGACGCCCTCTATCTTGTTTTCGTTGAGTTTCAGGACTCTGAGAGATGCCGACTGGCACACACTGCTTGGTATGGAGGTCAGAAGATTCCGGCTCAGATCCAACAGGACTAGCTCTACGGCCTTTGCCAGGTCAACCCCCGTTACGTAAGCGATTTTGTTCCCACTGAGCAACAGGACACGTAGCTGTGACAGACTGCCAATGTCGCTGGGGACCTTTTCTATCTGGTTGTGGCGAAGGTCCAAATACTCAAGGCTGGGCAGCTCGCAAACGTTATGTACGACCGAAGAGATGTTGTTGTACGACGCAATGAGTCTCTCCAAGTTGTCCAGAAGGTAGATGTTTTCTGGGAGGCTGGATACACTATTCCTACTGATGTCGAACTCCACCAAACTGTCCAACTGGCACATTCTGTCTCCCATGACTTTGATCTTATTGCGACTGATGTTCAGTGTTTGCAGGGACAGCATGTCTGTGACCTCCCTTGGGATGAATCTAAGCCCGTTGTCGGACAAGTCTAGAACCTCGAGCATAAGCCCGGAGAATTCCGGCGGAAAGTGTCTGAGTCGGTTACCGGACAGATTGAGGATTTCCAGGCACGGTAAGAAGCTGAGACTTTCCGGCAAGTCGCGGAGATTGTTACGGCTAAGATCAAGGCGCTCAAGGTACATCAGCGTGTTGATGTTCCGCGATAACTCGTCGAGATAGTTTCCTCCCAGCAGCAACCTCTCTACGTCACTTTCCTGTACTTCATCTACCGGCAATTCTTTGAGAACGTTGCTACTAGCATCGATTTCTTCAAGGAAATGAAGCTCAAACATCTCGGACGGAATGTACTGCAATTTGTTACCGGATATGTTGAGATATTCGAGCTCCTCCAAACGAGAAATGGTGTCTGGTACTTTGGTCATACCAGTTTGACTTAAGTCAAGGCGCTTGAGACTAGTCATCTGACTGATAACGTCATGCATGTCATCTGGTAGCTTGTTCTTGCTTAGATTCAGGACCTCCACGTTTTCCAATAGGCCCACTCCGAATGGTAACGATGGGATCTTGTTGGAGGAAAGGTCAACGTCCGTCAGGGTGTTGATCCCACACACCTCTGTGGGGAACGACGACATGTCATTGGAGGCAAGACGGAGAACTGAAAGGGCATTGAGACTTGAAAACGAATCAGGGAGGCTCTCGATGTTGTTCTTACTTAGATCCAAGACCTTTAGTCTTCTGAGCTTCCCGAACTGTTCTGGCAGGTTGGTTAACCTGTTGTGATTTACCCGTAGGTGCTTCAGCTGAGAAAGCTCGGTGACGTCCTCTGGTAGGGAGTATAGGCCGTTGCTACTGATGTTCAGTGACTCGAGATGCTCCAGTTTGCAGAGGGGCTTCAGGTTTTGGACCCAGTTGCGTTCCAAATTGACGCTTTGTAGAGTACTGATTTCTCCTAGCTGAGCAGGAACGGTACGGATCTTGTTACCGGAGAGGTCCAATACTTGTAGCTCCTTCAACATAGAGATACTTTCGGAGATCTTCTTGATTCTATTGCCTTGAAGAAAGAGACACCTGAGCTTCCTGAGGCCTAAAATGGAATATGGCACACTGTCTAAGAACAGTCGGTTTGCGTGAAGAGTCTTCAGGTTCTTCAAGTTCTCAATAGCTGTCGGGATGGTGTGGATGTCGTTGTCACTGATGTCGATTACTTCCAAGTTTGGGAGCTCGAACAGCTCTCTGGGAAGTCCGCTTAAACGACAGCCGTCAAGACTGAGCGTTTTTAAACGCCTGAGTTTTGAGATTTTCCCTGAGATGAACATTCTCGGATTTTGCCCAATGTCCAGTTCGCGCAGATCGTCGATGTCGAATAGTGCGTCGTTCACCTCCCTCAAATCAGTGCACCTGAGTTTGAGCGTTTGCAGTCGCCGCAGATGGGAGATTTCGCGGGGGATTTTGATGACTCGGTTTTTGCTCAGGTCCAGACTTTCCACCTGTCTCATCTCGAGTATTGACGGATGGATGCCGTTCAGTCTGTTCTCGCTCAGGTCTAGATGCCGCATTTCGCTCAGTTTGCCGACTTCATCAGCAACTTCTCGGATCCTGTTGTTCTTGAGTTTTAGAACCCGAATATCTTTCAGGGAAGCCGTCTCTTTCGGCAGGACCCTGATCCTGTTTCCTTCGGCGCTCAAGGAGACCAGCTTCTGTGCCTGGAACACGCACGGAGGGATGGCTGTGAGTTTGTTCCCGTCTAGATTGAGGTACTCAAGGCCCGTAATGTCTACGTCATCGACAGGGAACCCCGAGTCTGTCAGGTTGTTGTTGCTAAGCGACAAGTGACGTAGGAACTTCATCTTGTCCAGCACGTCGGAGACGCTGGATATCTTGTTGTTGTCCAGAATCAGCGTCTGTAAGGCCGTGGGTCTTTCTATGTCCCCGGGGATCGTTCTGATCTTGTTATTGCTTAGTTTCAGCGTCTTCAAGTGCGTCAGGTAAAACACTTCTTTCGGGATGGACTTAAGCCTCATCGTTGAAAGATCGAGCTCTTCTAAGCACTGCAAAGCTGGCAAGACTTCGAATGTAGAAATGTTGTTTTCACTAAGCTTGAGTACTCGAAGTCTGTACAGTTTACCTAGCTTGACGGGTAGGGATTTTACTTTGTTATTTGAAATGTCTAACACCTCTAGGGCTTCTAGGGCAAACACGTCTTCCGGGACCACCTGTAGCTGTACGCGGGACATGTACAACTCCTTCAGTTTGCTCAAGGTTGAAATCGGAAAGGACGAGATTCGATTTCCGGAGACATCTAAGACGCGGAGGCCCGCCAACTTCGAGATGCTCTCGGGGATTTCAGCAATCTCGTTGTCGGCTACGCGAAGAATCTCAAGCGAAGGGATATGGAATACTTCTTCTGGAATGCTTCTCAGATTCTGGTTTGAGAGATCGAGCTCCGTAAGTGACTGTAACCTCGACAGGAAAGAATAGTCAACGATCGTGTTACCGCTGAGATTTAAAACCTTGAGATCTCGAAGATTCTCGATGTCATCTGGGATGGACGTCAGATAATTGTCGCGGAGGTCTAGAGACTGAATGTCCACCATCTTACAAACGCCGGCCGAAAGGTGCCTGAGGCAGCGATCCGAGAGGTCAAAGTGTAAGTGTGTGGGAATGGAGGGTTTGCCGCTTTCCTCTTCTAAACTTTGAACTTCAGTATCGCTACTGTCCGTTTCACCATTTACCATGGTCTCCATAATGATGCTTTATGTCTGCAATAGAGAAAGAACTGTTGTTAAAACCGTAAGGTACATGAAGGTTAGTCTTGTAGTATGGTTGTTGGTACGTGTACAATTATTGTGCAATATAATATAGCGCATCTATTGTGAACGGGAAATATGCTTTTCTAGCGTACACATTGCCCCCGATCAATTTTTACCTTCGCCAAGAAGGTTATGTTTTCAGGACCGATGCTCGGGGCAGCGTTTGTTTTGTATGGTACTTTTTTTGGATTGTGAAGATTTTCCTGTTCATATTCAGTTGACCCCGCGACTGAAAAGAAAATTGAAAAGAGTGTCTAAAGCGCAAAAAAAAATAACTTCTTGTTTTAATTTAACTTATATGTTATATACTAGTTTTAAACTCAAACAGTTTCGCTCTTCACATCTCTCTTGTTCACCGTACTATATTTTTAAGGCGCTGAAGTAGCCTTGGGGTCCGTAACTTCTGTAATCCCCATAGGGCGAAAACTGCTGTGTAGAGGATTTGTTTATTACTTCATTTCTTGATACCCTTGATGAAACCTAGCAACGAATCGTCAGTGAAAGTGACCTTGGCATCCACTAGCTGTGACTCGTCAGCCCTGCGCTTTATAATCATCGCTATATGTTTCCAGCAGAGGACTCGTTTTCGTCGTGCAATTCAACCGGGCCAGTGAACACTGCCTTGCCACCGTATGATCTTCTTGGAGATAAGGGTTGGCGGCCGGAGCTTAGCCTCTACCAGGCTTCGGAAGGCGACTGGAAAGAGTAGAAATCGGCCAACTAGAGAGATAACATGCTAAGGGAGTTAGTCTGCTGGAGATAACAGTTTGCCGCTCCCGAAGCCTGGTAGAGGCTATACGCCATCAGAAAATCGTGCAAAATGCAAATACCCCCCCCCCCCCAAGAAAAAGTCGACCGCTCCCGGAACGCCTACAAAGGAGGCTAATTGAGACAGATGTGGGATAGTTGTGGTCTGACGTCTAACAACCATTTTCGGAAGGGAGCGCCCCTCAAGCGGTGTTCCTAGGCGAAAATTGAAAACTAAAATCCATCATGAAAATAAGATCACCACAGAGGTGGAGGTTATTTTACTAGTAAACAGTACAGTAAAGTAAACATGATGGTCTGATCATTCTGTCACGATGTTCGCCACCAGCTATCCCGCCAGGAGTAATTATCAGAACCGCTAAAAGTACGAGACGCGCTCGTCATTAAAAGAATACAAACACCAGGCAGGGGGTAAAGTCGGATTGCGTGGGTTGCTGAAAGAATAGTACTAGTAGAAAAAGTTGCACAACAAGAGGAGTAGCCTCCTTCGCAGACGTGTGGGGCGGCGGCGTTAATTCTGCAAGGAGCAATGCGAGTTTTGCGGCGGAGGTAGTTTTGCCACGGAAGGTCAGTTCGCGTTGGGCTGTTACACTGACAGAGTACATCTGGCTGCGTGGATTACTGGAAGAATAGTAGAAAAAGTTGGCAGGAGGAGTTAGAACTTCGCAGACTTGTGTTTGGCAAGGTCAGAACTTTTGTATCTCAGATGGGAGTCCCAAATGCGAACAAATACTGTAAATAATTTAAAGATTGTGGACTCAGCGTAACCTGATGACAATGTTGATGAAGATTCAAGTCCAACCACCCGCTGAGACTGGTATCGCTGCCAATTCGTACAAGCCCAAATTTCTCCCGGCAGTTGACAAGCTCACGGTCCTACCACCAAGTCGAGCTTTTCAAAATGGCTCAGATAGGGCTACTTTTGACCCTTGTCGTCTGTGTCTTGCTACACAACGGCGTATCATCAGCGGTGGAAGAGAAAAATGAAGAGGGATTCTGTTCCCGACAGCTCAACAACAACCAGAACATCACGGTTGTGGCCGCGCCCGGGCCCATCGGACCGAAAGGGGACATAGGGCCGAAAGGTATGGAAATGAGAGTTACATACAGCAACTATGGCCTGATATCCTTACTTTTCTGGCCTGGATGCCAGGTCCATGATATATTTAAACTTGGGCCTAGTGTGCTATTGGTCTGACATCCAGGCTAGAGAATCATGCACACTGGACAACTTGGGCCTAGTGTGCTATGAGTCTGGCATCCAGGCTAGGGAACCCTTTCCCTGGGTGCCAGACAAGTTTACGGGACGCTAACCGTTTCCTTCGGCAGCCAGGAGCAATTCGCCCGCAGACCTAAATTACCGCTGCGGGAGTATTCGTCCCTGCAACGTTTGTAGGGCAAGCCAAACTCCCCCCGGGCTAGACTCCCCCGTAGCGGTAATTTAGACCAGCGGGCGAAGGGCTCTTGCGGCCCGGAAAACGATGTTTGGCTTCCAGGGTAGGGAACCCTGTACACGGGACAACTTGAGCCCAGGTATGCTATAATACCTGGACCTGGCATCCAGGCTAGGGAACCTCCCCTGTATCTGTAATAAAAGGCGCTGGGAATGTTGCCCTCCCGCCCAGTCCCCGATGATCAGCGTATAAGTCGGGAATTTTTACGGGGTTGGCTTCAAAAGTGTGTTTGAGGGTTCAATAATGCGTTTTTGTCTTATTTTTAATTTCATATCACTTCTATTTGTACTCTGTCCTCGCTACTCGATTTCACTAGTTTCTACGTTCGCAGGTCCCGCCGGCACGCCAGGGGAGGCAGGTGTGAGAGGCGCGCCCGGCAAGCTGGGCCCGGTCGGACCGAGGGGGGAGCGGGGAGATAAGGGTGAACGTGGACCGGCAGGTGAGAAGGGAGCACCAGGGACCAGCCCACCTGCTCCACCTGTCGTGGCGTTTTCCGTGGCGCGAACGGCCGGCATTTCTCGGACGTCGTCCACCACGGTACTGACGTACAACGTCATCCTCAGCAACGAAGGAGCGGCGTACAACGAGGGGACCGGCAAGTTTGTGGCGACGGTCGGAGGCGTCTACTTCTTCACGTTTACCGGGATGACAACAAATCCAACCAACAGTAACTATTATCTCCGTCTGATGAAGAATGGGGGAAAGATGGTTGGCCTACACGAGGCCAACGGGCCGCAACCCCAGTACCAGTCCGGTAGTAACAGCGCCATCCTGCGGCTACTTCCTCGGGACGAGGTTTGGATAGAGCTGGACAAGAGCGGACGCACTCTGTACAGCAGCGGCAACAAGTACCTGACGTTTTCCGGGTTTCTCATTCACGCAGACTGAAGCAGGGTGATTTTTTGTAGGATTTTCAGCAAATAACCAGCCGTCATCAGCAAGCACCTACGATCCAAGACAACGATCCCTTTGAGGACAAGCACGACTATACAAGAAAAATATTAGAAGTGATTCAAGCAACTAAATAGATTTTGAAAACTCATCAGTATCAATCGTTTCAAGTAGTATCCACTGCTTTTCTTCAGTGACTAACTAAATATGTAGTTCTGTTTTATCCAAAACTATGAATTGATATGAAAATCGGCTCGAAGGAAATTTTACCACAAGTCACCGCTCTGAGCAACAGCGAACCAATGGAGCAGCAAAGTTCTAATTAAAACACTTCTCCGGTGCTTTAAGATGGCAAATTCTGTGGTTTATTCTGGTTATTAATTTAGTAGCATTTGTCCGTTTGTTTGTCAGTTTGTTTGTTTGCGAACAGCATAACTCAAGAAGCTATGGATGGATTGTCATTGAACTGGGTAGGTGGGTAGATCTTGATAAGACCTAGAAATTATTAGATTTTGGCCCCCCTGGTGGCTTTCTATGAGAAATATATTTTTGCTCACTATTCTTTTCTTCCGTCAATTTAACTAACTCCCTTTCAGAAGGCAACGCTGACACTGTTATGTTAAGCCCAAATGACGTGAAATTTGATGCTTTGGAGATATACGCCCAGACTTTCAAAACCATTTACTTCATGTTTTTGCCATTTTAAGGCTAAAACGGTACATTTTTAGCTTAAACTTCTACTGTAGTTAAATGTAGTCAGACAATCCACACAATATAATCTGTCTCGACCCTCCTCCCCACGCTCTCTCACACATTGACTATACGCGACTGTTTAAGCACTACAATCCACACTCAGTTCCATTCTCAATTGTTGGTACTAGCATGGACCTGAGCAAATACGCCCCACAAAAATGCACGCGTTTAATACGGTACGTAATTCTCGTGAAGGTATTTTTATTGTTCAGCGCTGACACTAGTTAAGCTTTTATCTGCTTTCTGGTTGCTCACGTTTATACAGCTGCCGAAGTCTAGTCGAGAGAAGAGTATCACTGTCACTCAGTACGCGTGCTACTGGTGACGTCCTATTGAAACGACCTGAAGCATAAGATTCCCCGTGTGTTTCCAAGCAAGCTTCTTGAGGGTTACATGGAATACAGACTTTTGCCAGGGCCTGCACAGGTCAGCTCTTCGGTTCCTGGGCCAACATTCCCCCAAGAAAACTTTGCGTCAGACCCCCTAGGTACGTACGGGCCTTCCTCATGAGGATGCGACAAAGTTGCCTTGGGGCATGTACGTTGGCCCTGGAGCAGAAGAACTGGCATAGCCCCGAGCAGTCTGGATTCCAGGCTATGATATTGAAGGAGGGGCAAATGTTTGTTTGAACATAGGTAGCTCATGTCGGGCTGTGACCAATCACTGAATTAAATTTTCGAAAAAAAAGCGTAAGATTTTCACAATTCTAAACATTTTTGTTTCCCACATTTTCTTGCGCTATAAGCCTACCTGGGTTCATAATGACATTTGGGGAGTAAAGGATCAACGTCGTTGTGCCGCAAAAACGTGTTGGAAAACTGCCAACACTTCGGTACTAGGGCGGATCGCGGCCATGTTGTTTGTTTACATGCTTTTTAGGAGCCTCCTAAAAATACAGCGGGCCTGGCGCAACTTATTCTCGCGCTGCGCTGAGTCGCCGAAAAAGCGAAATAGCGACGCTAATAATATGTTGAAAGTTATTGAAAATGACGATGTACATGCGAGAAAAACTAAATTATTCATAGTTACAGTTTTGGCGCAAAATCTTACATAATATCGCTTTAAAGATAGCAGGGAAAATTTGACATCCTATTAAAAACTAGTGGATCGAAAGGAGTGCACCCCCCCTCCAAAAAAACAAACAAATATGCTGAAAAAGGGAAACGGGAGGGGGGCATATGGTTGACACAGTTAGGAGGTCGAAGCGCCCTTGAAACACAGTGTACGGTAGAGGTTACATACGTCATATGTCCACAAGCAAACTCTACTCTTCACAACCTGACCCACAGCAGATTATGTTGCACCCGGAAAATTCTGTGTAACAATCGTCTTTTAGAAACCTGTCCCCTTCCTTGGTATCGTGTGACATTGTGCAAAATCGCGCAGATCAATAATTCAATAAAGAAATACAAGCCAAAACAAACGTGTATTTGAAAGGTCTAAATATGAGTTTGCCGAGAATTACCTAGTACTCTCCAACAATGGCGACTGTTTACTCAACATGACACAGCCTGTGTGCATATATATAAATCCTGCTGCAAAATCAGACACTGGCACATACAGCATAGTATGCCACGGTCTTAAGAGAGAACTTTGTTGTTTTAGTAAGTCTATACTGCAAAAAGTGAGAGCAAAATTAAAGAGGTCGAAATGCCTTTTGTCATTCCTAAAATCATATAGGTCATCGCCCACACGAGTTTCAGTACATAATGTTACACATGTAATCTAGGCATTCATCAAGCGAATGAAATGGTCTGCCTGTGAATGAGCTCAGGAGATATTTCAGACATCTTTAACAAAAAAACAAGGCGGGCAAAAAAAACAAGATTCCTACATTTTCAAATTTTGAGATCATAAACTTTGTAACAATAATTGATGTGAAAAAACATGATATTATAACCAACAGGTCTTTATGACATATAACCTATTTTCGGCTTGTTGACCACCGTCGGAGGGCAACAAAATTTCCCTTTTCTCCAAAATCAGGCGAAAATCAATGCGCCACTGATGTCATCCATGAAAATTACTTTCTGTAGCCTAACAATTTATTTAATTAGCTTACGCTATACATAGCGTACCAGAGAAGAGTCGCATTTCAGACCATTGTCCCTCCTTTGACTTGTTTCCGTGATAGAAAAAAAAATCAACGTATTTGGCGGTTTCAGTAGTGACGACATCATAAAGAAAACACATGTTTGATAAAATACTGAAGAAAAGAATTTAGCCCTACGCGCTGAACACTTCTTCACCACCTCAAAAGCTGGAACAATATTTACCCTGTAGTCGCTTCTATTCTATTCCAACAGTTTGCTCTTTGCTTTCCATCTCGGTCACATATGAATTATTCAATCAATTGATGTGGTTTAAGGAGTGGCCTTTAAAACCATAACAATGCCGAGTAATAATAGGACAGATATTAACAGTCAAAACCGCCCAATAAAATCACTCAGGGGACTGTTGGCCAGGTGGTCACTATACTGACAAGAATGTTAATGCTCGTGTCAATGGGAAAATTGTCTAAGGGACCACCAAATTGGCCAGGTAGTCCTTATGTAGGACTTGTGCAAGTTAAACTGTATAACAGAAAATAATCTGTATCTGTATCTGTATAGCCGGTATAACCGCCTTTCGGCGTAACACACCAGCTAATCGACAACTATTGAAGAGTTAGGTCTTGTCAGTGTCCATCTAAGTGTGACCGCGCAACTTTGCAGCACTACCCGTGTCAAGCCAAATACATGATCCTGCCAAATACATTACTCCGACACTACATGGGGGTTTCCAATATACCTGAGACAAAGGGTGGGAGGGGGTTGGTCTTGATGTTGGGGACTAAACCTAACCTAACCCTTACCGTAAGTCTAACCCTCGCCCTGAACTCTAATACCAACCCTAACCCTAACTCTAGCCTGACCTCTCACGTATGTGGCAACTCAAAGACTTGGCTCAACACGGGGTACAAGAGGCCATGAATTTGTTACCGATTTCCTTGATTTGTTTATGTTAATTATGGGCGGGAAAATAATTACTAGGAAGATACAGCGACGCCTTTTTAAAAATTATTTCGGCCACGCCCTCCCCATCTCCGTCACCGGGTGGGGAAGTTGCATCAAGAAATACACCACATATCTGCTTGGAGCTTGCACACTATGATGATATGATACCCCGGCGTATGCGATACATACATTGGCCTGTACAAGTGTATGGGGTAGTTGTGTCCTCCCACCAGCAACGTTAACACATCTGGTGTAAAGGACAGGGAACTGGCGTCTCTGAATCAGTCCTACCCATGTCGTGATCGTGTATGGACATCATTCTATCAGGCTTTAGCATATATAACACTAGCAGCCTTCAGTATATATAACACAAGGCCCAGCCACGCTCTAATAACACTGCGCCGATTTAACGGCTGATTGAAAAGTGATTCCCACAGGGATTTCTTCACCGGGTGCAGAGAGATAAGGAAGGCAAACAGTCTCACTTTCGGGTGCGCCGAGTGTGAAGATATGCTTACATTGCATACAAACGTAAACATCACACAGATAGATACAGTGTCCCTCAAAGTTACGTTATGCACCGTTTGTTTCTTCCCACGATGCGGTCAGCTTTCAGTGAAGCTGTCGCGCAATATATAGCTGAATGGGCGTGGTCTACGTTGAACCAAACCGTACGTAGCCACACAAAAAGCTATGTATATCTCAAGCAGGTTTTAATAAAGTTTGTTTGGGTTATTTACTCCACCCCCAACAAAGCACCTTACCAGCCGTGTTGCAAGGTGCTTTGTTGGGGGTAGTATATCCCTTCACATTACCTAGGAAATGGCACATCCGAATTCTACTGAGGACAGTAAAACGTCATGTCGTATTCTAGAAAAGTGAGTCAACTAGGTATATTTATGATAAGGGGACCGACACGGACCCTAACATATACTCTTACAGTGTAGTTCTACGCTGCACATTCTTAGCTAGAAGAGCTGTACAGTATAAGTGGCGCGGGAAGAGAGTGTAAAATGAGAACCTCTTACCTGTCAGAACGTAGACAACTTCAACGTGGGAGAGTCTTAGCTGCGCGACCACCTGTCGGAGTCACCGTCTTCCCTTGGCGGCGACGACAGACAGTAGCCCCGCACAACACCACCGCGGAGCTCCCGACGTCCACACGAACACGCGCAAACTACTAGTAAATCCGTGCTCACACAAACGTTCAGCTTCCCGGTGGCCGACGACAAATATTAGTTATTTGCACAGCTCTGTGGCTGAGAGTGACTGCGGTACGTGTACGTGTACCGCCAAAAGAGCCACTGGTGGTGAGGCTCAGGTTCCGTACTGGCCGCAATTCAGTGGCCTACCCGCCAAACGCGGCACCGCCTACTAGGTATATTTTGGGGGTGACTGAATCACCTTTCCACAGTATAGTATTATACTTCGGTATATCGCTTTCAGCGACGTTGTAGTCTTGAATGAGACATTACTTCTATGCTTCAGAAACGCGCCTTTGCGGCAGGAATGTCAGAAAAGCATGCCTGGCACCCCGCCTGCAATTTTCAGAGTGGTTCGACCTCACAATTGTGTAAAATAGCGCGACGCCCGTTGCCAGGATACCTATTGTGGGAAAAGGAAATGTGATCCGGCAGGTAGAGTGAGCGCGTACCTGGGCTAGATTGTTTTTCTTCCCCTGGCCGGGTGTTTGGGTTTGCCTGTGCCAGTGTTTATGGCGGTTTACGTGGTTCCCAGTACAGGCGTCAAAGCCATTCACGCGAGCGTGAAATGTCACAAGTGTACGGAATATTTTCACAAGACTTGAACACACAACAATTATCACCAATGACGTCCCTTGTCTTATCCTTCATCGTGATTATATGACTGTCGCTGAACTAGTTCAACCGATGTCACGTGAACCATTTTAGCGTAGTATGTATCGTCCTTCAGTAGTACTAGTATTATCCCAGGATCACAACATTACAATGACTGCATAATAGTGCACTGTGACCAAATTGCTGTGACTGAAGACAAAGTTCTGATTGTTCAAAAAAGATGTTAATAAGGTTTTAAACAAAGAAGAGGAGGGGTGAAGGGGTGAAGACTAAACAATATTGAATGTGTGTAGTTATGTACATATTGTGGGAGTTCCGGGTGAGCTTTGTTGACACAAATAGCGAACAAGGAAATGGACAGGATAACACGGATGGTCATTTCTTTGTCAGCTTCGAATTCTACTCTTGAATTGACAAGTGAAGGATAACGAAATAAATAACATCGGCTATCTTCAATGTTTGCTCTGTTTAGAAAAGATGTAACTTAGAATTTCAGGACAACTTCAAGTTCAGGCCAGTTCTCCAAACCTTACAAACAGCAGATTGTTACAAGTTCGAGGTTTAAAAAAAACAGCTCTGCTGTCAAGTGTTCTAAATATGACCACTCAACAGCGTCTTCTGGCGTCCAGGTCTAAAACTGCAATAAATGCAATGCTATCACTAGTTGAGTTCAGATCAGGGATCATCAGGGCGAGAAGGCGGAAGCTCGAGCTCCCTTTCCTGTCACGCATGCATGCAGCTGGCTCGGTAATGGGAATATAGTGTGCTCGACATATTTCCACAGAAGGAATAAGATTCTCCCAAAGTTAGGTTTACAAAAGATTCATTCAATCGCATTGACTCAAGCATAGTTCTAACATGGGTATTTTTTTACCTCCCGATCGAATCCCGATGGTTCTGATATTTGTCTGGGTCATATATCATAACCCCCCTGACTTAATTAGACTAAAAAGATGTTGCATTTAAATTGTATCGGTTCCTACTTTCTGCTGGCAGTGCTGCCCCTTTTGATGCCCCCTCTCAAAAGTGGGTGAACGAGTCTATTATATAACGTTAACTTAATACATTGTTGTACCTTTTGACATTTACTATATAGTAGCTGTGTACCGACTCTCAATGTCTATATAAAATGACGACACGCAATATACATCCGTACACAAACGATCCGGGCTATCTCTGCATATCACTGCATATATGATTCGTAACTATAAGAAGACATTTTTATCTCCAATGGGAGACGTCCTTGATCCAATCAAGTCCATTGTCCGCCGCCCCCCCTGGAAAAGTGGGCGTGTCCAGGAGTTCGCAGAAAGTTCAGGCACACAAACAAGATGGCGGACGTGACTTGGTACATGTCTGAGTCTGCCGAGGCTGTTGCGGAGGAGCTTTCCCGTCTCCTGTCCTCCCTAGAGGGCCGTGACGACGACGAGGATGTCGCCGAGCAGTATCTCGAGAAGTTCAGGGAGGTGGGTAACCTTTGCACGCCGTATTTGTCTGCACCGTGACGTTGTTTTCGACCTGCCCGCGCCAGCAGAACTGTCTCCCGCGGTTGCGAAACCAGCTTGCGGTGCACGTTTGGATTGTGTGTAGAAATGCCGTCTGTCAACACGTACAGCGTTACATGGTTACACGAGCTCTTTATGTCTAGTGTGGATCAAAGTCAAGGTCTTTCCCTCTCACACAACGGTCCACACGGCCTGCTTGATTCACCCATGCTGCATGCATGCTGTTTTCACAAATTGTAATTAAGTCGGATAGGTCTTTGATGTTTTGGTTGCGGTGGGGAGGGGGGTGTTGCATCAAAATATTTGTCTAGTGATTTCTAGACGTTTCCCCCTGTCGTATTCTGCATA